TGAGCATTAATATGAAATATACTCGCCCCACCTTTACATTGAGAATGTGAACTCTTGTGATTTTTGACAAATGGTGTATCGTTATCATTCAATTTGAAAACTACGTTGTTTGGCTCGTCCTGGGGTCGTGGTATTGGTCCTGGATGGCTTTGGTTACAGAGCTCGTTGAGGTAGTTTCTGTCTGAGGACCCGTCTCCTTCGAAGGTGTCCCCTTCCTGGCAAAAAACGAGATTATAGCTCCAGTTGGCCACACTTCTCTTTTCCATGCAGTTCTCAAGTGTTCTCGTTTCAAAGTAACTTTCATCGATGAGTATAATTCAGGTCTGAGAGAGGGGTGGGATTCGCAGGCTACCTCTGGGATATGTGGCTCAAGGATTTTTTTCAAGTCCTGCGGCTTGGTGTTTGGTGTCAGTCTAGTGACGTGAAGAGATACTAGCCTTGGGACAGTTTCTATACCTGTTGCTTCTGAGCTTTGACCAACCAGAAATTTTCTTCTTTTCTTGTGGTGGACAGTGGTCCACTTTCCAGTATCGTTTTCGTGATTTGTCGTGCCTAATTGTTGTATATTGTGCATAGTATTCATTGTTTTGGCCTGAATAACTGCAGCACTGACCTGCTGAGGTGTAATACTGTTTGGCAAGGCAATGTTACTAATATCTCCTTTAGACTTTGTTTCAATCGGTTCCGGCGGTCGATTAGCCACTACCACTTTTGCAAAGTTTCTGTTACCAATACTAATGTCGTTTTTACTAACACTTGAACTCCTGATGTTCTTGGAATTAGGTGTATCTGTACTTATAGGAATTTGTGGAGGGTCCTGGTTTGAATAACGTAGAGCAGATATACTTGCGTTTTGTTCATGTAATCGCTGTACCTTTTCCGTTAATTCCCTGATAATGTAGTTTTTGTGGGCAATAATTGATTTCAGATATTCTATTTCTCTCTTTTGAGGGTCATCGTTGAGCATCAACGAGTCTTCTTTAAGTATTTCTTCCATTATCGTATCATTTCCCTTGAGGTTATGTTCACCTTTGTTGTTCTCGCCACAACAAATCATGCCTCCATCGACTAGTTTTATGTTTTTTAGTCTTTTTGCACAGCTATTGTGAGCTGAACGTTCACAATTTATGCATTTGGTTCCTGTTACCACATTAGAAGAACAATAAATACAGAGGGTATTTACCACGACTTTCTCACTCGCGGCCATCTTGCCTGTTATAGATAGCTACTTAAAAAATATCATTATTACCCAGGTAACAAGATTATATCCCAAGGCTTGAGCGCTTGAGCCGAGGGTTATGAGGTCCGGTGGTGATACTATTCTTTACTACCAAGGTGTATAGTTGATTTTTTTACCCACTAGCAATATATTTCAATAATTATAGTTCCGTGAAACTGAAATTTGGACCTATTTTCAGTTATAACTAAAATCTAGCTGTCATGACCATGACAGCATATGACAAGTCGTTATTGATAAATACCTACTAGATTCAAGTGCCATTCCTGCGAATCTCTCATATCAGAATATCAGAACAGTGAATTAGAGTCAATTATAACAGAGGTGGATATGTCTTTTTTGACTAGTAGTTTATACAATGATGAAAACTACTTTGTTAAGAAACACACTTTATGCCTTGGAAATGAGTAAATAATGGTAGGTTTCATAGCTTGTTGTGAAAAATAGTTATTTATACACCAAGATAGTGAAGAATATCATTATTACCCAGGGACCAAGATTATATCCCGAAGCTACAACCGATGGTTTTGGGAAACTGAAATATGGACCTATTGTCACTATGAAAGCACTTATTTTCAAGTGTAATTAAAATCTAGTAGCCATGACCATGACAGCATATGATAAAGTTGTTATTGATAAATACCTACCTACTAGATGTGAGTGCCATTTCTGTGAATCTCGTATCAGAACAGTGAATTCGGGTAACTTATAACATGTCTTTATTGACTACTAGTTCATAAAATGACGAAAACTACCTTGGTAGAAAAAACTTTTTGCCTTGAAAAGGAGTAAATGATGATAGGTTCTATAGCTAGTGGTGGAAAAATAGTTATTTATTATACAAGGGAAAAAAGTTGTAGATTTTAGCTCCAGGTTGTGTTGCCTCCCGACGCGTAGCGGAGGGAGACAAAAAACCGTGAGCTAAAATCTAATTTTTCCCGTGTATAATGCACTATTTTTTTCAGTGACAGAAGAAAGGACGAATCAATATTGAGAAGATATTACATTATTTTGAAATCTGTAAATTATCGACGTGAAATTTTAAATTTTTAACATTAGGGACACCAGCGTTGTAGATGTGATATATATCCGGGAAAAAAGTAATTCATGAAAAGTGACATTTTATAACCTGCCAACAGAGATGAAATGCCAAACTTTTTTCCCGTCACAGAAAAAAAACATTGTTTACGCCGGCGGGAGTAGAAGTTAGTTTCTCTGGTAACAAAAGAGGGACAGAAGTCTCGTATTATTCCCTAGGGAGATAATGTGACATATTTTCTCCCTAGGGAGTTTATACCAACTTTACATTTTCCGCATAGCTCTGTGCTTTCTCTTCGGAACACCCTTCTCTGAAGCGAGTATAAGCTGCATCATACAGATTTCTAAATCTCACTGGTAGCAAGTTAAGAATCACTGCAGACGCAGTATCAATAGTATCTTGGGGTTTTCCCTCGATTTCTTGTTCCATAACCGTTAACCATTTTCAAAGCTGTTTTCATAAATTTCAGTTTGATATTTGCTGTCACCATGGGTCAACAAGATGCATGTTGCCAAGATACGAATTCCACAAACTATACTAGGTACTATATACTGATTATGACAAAACACTTTGACCAAATTATTATTCTTTCTTAATTTTTGTGTTTTCGCCAGCGTAAAGAATAGTATATACACCTCAGGACAGAATGCTATTTTTCTTCTTGAATTTCTGTCCCTTGATGTATAATGTACTATTATACTTTTTAGTCCGTTAAAAACATGGTATATTGAACATTCCTTTTGATTTTATTATTTTCTACTTTTTATGGGTATGTGACTGAGGTTTTGGAATTGATTTTGAATACTGTGACGTCATGCCATAAATCCCAGATTTATTTCAGTCTTATTGTCTTCTGGTTATATTTGAAATAGAGAAATGTCATATCTACTTACCAATAAATACATCAAACTAATTATTATTTTGGAAATGAAATAACGAATCAAGTGAAAATATTTCTTTCAAATTTTGACATGTAATTTGACACTATTCAAAACTGACGGAAGTTTTGAAACGTGTCTACGTAACCAGTTGCGTAAAGTAAAATATCACATAATTGCTGATGAAATATTCATTTCAACACCAGTTAGGAAATAAAAATGTTGATGGACGAAGAGAATAAATATAGTGCATTTTATGCTGCTTCCTCGATATCACTTGCGAAATCTGAACTTGATTCAGCCATTTTCCAGTTATGAATGATGATTTGTGACCATATTGTTTGACGGAAGTGACGGGCGAAGTCAACTCTCCTACTAAATTTGTACATACATAGAAGGTAGAACACATGTAGAACTGGTCATTATTTCTGTTCAGGCGAAGATGTCCATCAAAATGAGAATAAATATTGTAGGTAACTGAACTGATCAACAAAATAAACGTTGTGATCCAAAATATAGACCGATTTCAAATTCGAATTACTCATAGATCCCATAACTAATTTATATTTGGTTTCCACAGTTAGCTAGGCCAATCTTTCAGTTACTTGTCAGAGCAATATGAGACTACAAATATTCCAAATGAACGATCTACAGGATGATGATTTAAGTAGTGTAAAATTGCAGCGGAGTCGTTACGTTTCCGTTTGAGCAAATATATTCCACAATTTTTTTTAGACCATAATCATAAAGCTTGATAAGATATTCTCTCGAAAAAATTTCGATGTTTTTTCAATCAGACCCTTTATGTCCGAGATATATCTTTTTCTTCAAAATGATGTATTTTATCAAGGAATTATTGAATAACATCGAATGTTCGTAATGTTTTTCGAAACATTCACATTGTGTGGATAGTTCTGGATAATGTGAGAGTGTCCGGATACAAAAACTCAGAATGGCGAGTACATACAGGATGATATAAAAATTATTGCGCGAGACAATGAAGAAAAACATATTTCTCTACAGATGAAACATAGTTTCCTCAATTCTTTAGATAGAATTATGGAATTTTATACCATAAACATGACGTTTTGTCGTCTGGTCTCGAAATGGTTTGTATATTTTTCAAATCTCAATCCGCATTATGGAGATATGATTTTTCATACACAATCATGTATTTGGGTGATTTTTTTTTAAATTGGGCAATATAAGTCAGTGAATTTGCCTCAGAAATGTAGATTATGCTGAAATGAACAGATACTCCTAGGATATTCATACAAGGTGCAACAAAATATGGCAATAATTGCAAACAGATGAACTCATTCCATTGTAGGAGAATGATTTCCTGAATGGGTACTTATCATTGAATAATGAAATGTGATTTAGATAATCTAGGTTGATTGATTAGTGGCTATATCCGTCTCATAGTGCAATGTTCTTCATATCGCTTCGTATGCAACTTCACCAGGAAGGTACAAAATGATCGATTCTTGTTGAAATTCCGCACATTGTATTTCTCGGAAATCATCTGTATGATGGAAATATAGATTTCCGATAGCTCGACCTGGAAATATAGATTTCCGACAGCTCGGACCAACTGTAATGAGTTCACATTCACTTTGCTGCAATCCCCACATATCAACTCTTTTTTGAAATCACCCTGTCTAGTCTCTGTTATGATTTTTAATGTTATAATGGCACATTTTATGAATTATAGTCATCCAAAAATATTCCATCCTGGTATCTAGCATTCATCACTTATACTTCAAAATAAGAAAAATGGCGACTCGGTCCGATCGTTGACCATCTTATGGAGCACATGAAAAAGTGTCCTTTTTTTTAATTTCAGAGATTTGGAAACGATGGCTACAAAAGCTGGTACTGCACCTATATATCTTGATGCCACAATTGATTATGATGTTCCCCTAGGTCCAGTTGGAGGTCAAACACGAATTTCGATGAGAAATGAACATTTGTCTTACATACTCACTTGGTTTTCATTAAGTGGTGCTACTAGTTTTATGTGGTATAAGAAATTCTGGAAATAAAATAACTAGTTTTTTAATATCATATTACTGATAACTTATTAACCCTTTACATCTTCCATACGAATTTATATTTTGCATACTGCACTAAAACTAGCGCAGAGAGATAAATCGGTTCCACAGATGTCTTCATGAAATTTCCAAGACTTTGACTTATACATACATTGTAATAACGCTTGTGATCAAAGTCAGGTGATATACTGGTACAATTGTACCAGTATACCACCTGACGAAGCTACTGTGTTATCGAAACATGTCGTGTGTTTGGGAATTTTGTGGAAATCTTATCGTTTGTGAAGTTTTTACATTTGTCATGGATTTCCATCAAGTTACGGCCGAGTGAATTAAAAAAAAAATACATCAGAAGAGCTGGTGGATCGTATTGATGAGGCGTGCCGTCAACTGATGAAAAATCTTCCTCAAATATCAGCTGCAATCAATTCCGTGGCCAAAAGAGTTCAGAAATGCATTTCATTTTGAGAATCTACTGTAAATCATAATTCAATTGTTTCTTTGCTTTTTTTATCTTCGATGTATGTCTAGTATGTATATTAATATGTTGAATACAATATTGGCGTCTCATATCTTATTTTCTAGTATACTTCAATCAAGTTTTGGCCTGCTTGCAAACTGTCAAATTGAAATAGATATCCCAAAAACCAAGCCATAAATCAAAAATTTGCATGGGTAGTTTTTTCTTCTGAATTGAACAGGAAATGTGAAATATGGAAAAGGGAGAGGGGGTGCTGAGCCTCATTGTCTCCGCCAATGAAGAATTTATGAAAAAGATTTGCAGGTGTGTTATTCATTCTGCATTGAAATGGAAATCGTGTATCTGCCGGCCAAGAGTGGTCGCTTGAAAACGCTACGAATTTCACAAAATCGACCTAGAAGCGCCTAATATCATTACCAGGATGAAATTACCGTCAAACTGATTGGAATTATGTAGTGGATCTTGAACATAAGCGTCTTGTCATCAGGGCCCGGCCCCGCGTCATATCAATGAAATAATATATTATAGCGGCAGAGGCAACATAGCAAAAATGTTGAAAATCACACACCAGGGTCCCGCCGATTTCATAGGAATGGTATTGTATATTAATTCTTTATACAGGGTGTCCCAAAATTGCTGGGACACAGAGGTACCACGTGTATAGGAGGTCAAAATATGTTGATTGGACCCAATTTATTTATTTACCAAAATGTAATGTTTGTCCGTGAGAAGGGTTCAAAGTTCACATAAAAAACACATTTTTGTACGCTGTTCAGAAACAAGTGAAAAGAATTTGATGAAATTTGGCAATAGTGTATTTCAGGGGTTTAATTTCCTTTTGGTAATCGAAGAAACCTGAAAGAAATTGTAGAAGGGTTAAAACCACCCTCACCCCCTGACATTTTTTTCAGAACTTTTTTAGGGGTCATAATACTGTTCTGAAATTTTTTGAGCTTGAAGACTAATCAATTACCTTCTTGTAAAAATTTCCTATACCGCATAGTTTCGAAGAAAAAAAAAATGTTTCTCTCAAATAATGCTACCAGATACCCCTATAGTACAAGAGTACCAGTTTAATGACATTGTGATATAAAACTCAGTTGACAGTGGAAACGAAAGCAGAACGTTTTTTCATAATAAATGTTCAATATGACGCCCACCTTCATTAAAACAAATATCAATTCGACGTAAAAAATGTTAATGCACCGCCTCCTTATTAGGACATCGTCGTTGTCTCGTAGTGCGTCAACGGCATCTTGGATTCTGTTCCACAGTTGTTCGAAAGTATCAATTTGAACTTTATACACGTGTGTTTTTAACGCTCACCAGATGGAGGCCATTGAATAGGTGCTTTCTTGTCCCCTGCCTGTCGGCGTTATAATAAGACATTTTTAAATGAATTTCAAATTCCCAAATGTCAAACTACCTCAATATGAGAGTTGTCTAGCAACTAGCATGGTTGACGTACAATTATTTCCACAGATATCACGATGGAAGTGAATAAATATTCAATTTGTTCAAAATATAACATGATTTTTCAATAGAAAATTAAGTTATTCGCCAATATCTCAAAGACAAATGAAGATATCGAATCGAGATTTACGCTAAAATGTAGGCATTTTTATTCTCTTCCACTGATGCATGATGCAAACATTTATTGTTTTATTTGAAGTTTCCGAGACAATCCAGAATAATCGAATAGTCGGTAAAAACGACGCCCCACTATAAGACGCGGTATGAACTAGCGACCGTGAACGAAGTCAGTATTTGAATAAATGTGAGATTATCTTTCGAACGAGCCCAAGTTGATTGAATTTGGATAAGGAAAGCAAGAAAGAACTGGACGCATCCAGAATTAATTATCTTTCCGAAAACATGTTTATCGCTTCGTTTAATTCACCTCCCAACCAGGATTTCTAGGGTATTCCAGATTTATGTCACCTTTGATTAAACTCTTGATCTACAGCGTGTCTCACTTCTAATAGAAGCACCCCGCTATCTTACGTAATAATTGAGGTAGGGTTCTGAAATTGCAGGAGAAATGGGAGGCCTGAAGATTAATTCAATTATGTAAGACCAAAATAGTACAGAAAGAAAATTAGATTTGAATTTGAAAATTAGTGAAAGTTAATCAACTTTTAGCTATTGAAAAGAAATTATCATAAAATTGGAAAATGTTAAATGTGAATTTAATAATAAAATAAGTAAAAGTGATGTTACTTAATCGTCAGGTTGACAAGAAAATCATCCATAAAAATATCTTTGGTCCAGTTGAAAAATATTAACATTATAGCGAATTACGGTACAAACAGAGATTTAAATTTGTTTCCCAAAATGTGATAATATGCAGATTACATTTTACATTTTCTCAAACAACCATTATGGCTGCGGCATACTGTCGTGATGAAGTGAACTTGACAAGTGAAAGAGAATACTGGAATAATGAACTTGACGAGTGAAAGAAAAGACTGGAATAATGAAAGCAAATTATTCCAGCATTTTCTTTCACTTGTCAAGTTCACTTCGTCACGACAGTTTGCCGCAGCATAATGGCTGTTTGAGAAAATGTAAAATGTAATCTGCATATTATCCCATTTTGGGAAACAAAAAATGAACCCAAGTTGATTAAATTTGGATAAGGGGTATGGAAGAAACAGCGATTTGAAAATTATTTTGTTCACAGGCTTCCCCCACCATTATTATTCAAAATACGAAAAAAAGTCTAGAAAACAACACAACAATAAATTGATGATCTTTCCATTTCCGTTGTCAAATAAATACTTTACGCAGTGATTTACTGAGATCATTCGAATTTCTCGTTGTATCATAGTAATTTCGCCCGCTACCGGTCATTTCAGAACCTTGAAAATATTTTGAATCAATTTCTCATCGCCGATTTTGTTGATGGATTTTTTCCCGAACCTGTAAGGTTTATGGTTTCTATAGTATCGTACCTCGCCGACCTTAGTGGGACACCCTGTATATATGGTGATTTATCAAATTAGTTATGCATTTGCTATTTCTTCAATATTGCTTATTTTCACCTTCGTGATGGTTTTACAGCTACGTATTTTTGGGTCTGGAAATCTTCTCTGCAGCATTTGAAAAATGAACTGGCATCTTGAGTGCAAGAATGTTTTAATTACCAGTAAAATGAAAAACAGGGCCTACTTTAATTCAAATATATAAAATAGAGTCACGACTGATAATATCTATCTAGAATTTCGAATAATTATCAAAATATCACTACTGTGTTTTTTTCTCTCAACTACCTACTCTCTGTTGCCAATTTCGATCCATCAAAAATATACAAAAAATCAATTTACATAAATCCAATTAAAAGTCAGGAATTATCAGCCAAGTCGAAATTAAAAATTCATTTGAAACGTTTTTGTTTCATACTTTCTCATGAACCGGTCAGTGTGCCGTATGTACTTTTTTGATATAACAATAGAACATGAATTTTTCCCAAAAACGGATCTGGATTTTTTTATGATATGCCATCTAGAATAGATAAAGAAACGTAGCTGCCAAACTTCTGGAAATTACGATGAATCATTTCTGAAATATCAACTATCAAAGTTATATGGCAATTCCACATAATACCCTGTATCTTCGTTATGGATGGCCAAACTAATTTTCATATACTTCAAACGGCCCCCCTCTATATCTCAGTTATTAGTCATGCGATTCCAACCAAATTTGGTGTGATATGAATAACCATCAATATGATCAGTTTTACAGAGATGCACATTATTTTGGACAGTGCCGTGCGTTTGTATTGAACTAAAAAGGGGTCGATTTTTTATAAAATCATATTAGACATTTTTGTACAGGAAATCTAACCTCATATTATTGTTCCTCATGCTTTCGAACCTCCGTATGCAAAAAATCACCTAATTCCGAATTAACAGGACTGGCTTAATTTTTTTCATTTTTAGTCTCGAATGAATAGTGACTTCAAATCAACTACGAATTTTGGAACGTTCAATGGCTCCGGTAGGTGGAAAATCATGATTTGGAAGGAAAAACGAATTATACTTTTTTATGTTGAACTCACCGTTTCCAAGTAAAAAATGCTGTTTAGATGTGTCTGTTTTTCTGAAACCTTTCATATCCATCATATGAAAATCCACATATGTGGGTTTGAAACCATGAAGGACAATATTATGAAGTCAGTTTTCCTGTGAAAAAAATGCCTAATATGATTTAATAAAAAACTGACCCCTATTCATTTCAATAAAAATGCACGGCACTGTCTAAAATGATGTTTGTCTTCGAAGAACTGGCCATATTGATGATTATTCAATTATTCATACCGATACAAATTTGGTAAAGATCGCACGACTGATAGCTGAGATATAAGGGGGGGCCGTTTTTTTTTTTTTTTTTTTTTTTTTTTTTTATCGCTTGGAGCGCACGAAAGGGAATCCCTATAATGTTCAAAGAACAACGTGCGTTCCTAGGGAGGATAGGGACAGGAGGTAGGTATTGGAATTTTTTTTGAACT